TGTGATCGACTCTGTGCCATAACACCCAGTCTCCAACCATTGTCAACCATAATCACACGGACCCGAAACAAGTCGTCTGCATCTACCAACATACCTCAGATCAGAAGTTAGTGACTTCAAGGACTGATGCCACGTTTTATATTGGCTGCCACTAACTTTCTTCCAACCATCCCCAACACAAGTCAGCATTGCACTTCGTGGTAATCGGTGTTCAGGCATATGTAACACGGTCCAACTATCTCAGTCGATGAAGATTCATAACCTCATCAATTGATTTACCATCATTCCCCGATTCCCTGTGTCTAACATCACTATTACTTACCCGGTGATCCCAGCAGCTGCGAGCAACATTTCAGGTGTTGACGAAGGTCAGTCCTGGAGCAACAACTTGCTTTTAGAGGGGGAGAAACGCATTCCAAACATTCTGGCATTGTTGCTCAGTGCTACCAAAAGACACTGCATTTTATCAGATTCTTCACCGAACAGGACCTTTTCATCTGTGTATTCTAAGTGGACCGCCTAGTGAAAGATCAATACCCGAAAATTCGGTCGACGAGAACGTTATTTACAGCAGTGGGTCCATGGTGAAGTTGAACAAAAATGGAGCTAGTCGGCAGACTTGTCGGACACCACTCGAGGTTGACTGTTCAAAAACCTAATGAATGGAGAATATGTGGTTGATGCAGCCACGACCAGGTCTAAATTCAGCCTGATTTTCTCGTGTTTGCAGTTCACGAATCTTGATCAGGCGCCCGATAATTATTGAGACTAGTATTTTAGATTCTACGTTAGTCAAACTAATCCCTCCATGGTTGTCGCAGGATGATTTTTACCCCTTCTTATATATCAATTCACGAGTCAGAAATGAATGGGTTCGAAGTTATGTTTGGAGAGCTATCTATATGACAAGAAGCGTTTGGTCTGAGCTGGCTAGTAGTTACAAGGGATGTGTAGCACGAGATGCTCATAGTTCATCTGGAACGGATGCGTGAATGAGCGCATTTGCAATGAAAATTTATATTCATAGTGTTCTTCATCGGTTTTTAATCTTTTCCAACTTTCCTGGAAAGGGAAAAGGATAAAATTGTCGGTGCATGTCGAAATAAACTCGTACGTGCGTAAGATCACAAAACGTGTGAAAAACGAAAATGTGGTATATATGCGTATTGATAACATGCGACAGCGTAAAAGAATTTTGTGCATGATTTTATTGGATTTTTCTCAAGAAAGCGAAAAAATACAAACATATATGAGCATATTAGAAAATAACATGTTTTTTTATCCAATAATGTAAAAGAACGTGATGAAACAAAATATTATGAGAAGTTTGAAGGATTCTTCACATACCATTTCGAGAGACCGTCGAAATGAATGGGGACATACGAAAACGTGTGTGCTATGTCGTAAAGCAGGTTGTACGAAAGCACCAGTTGACTGCGGTCTAACTGTTAGGTGTCGTATGGTTCAGAAGCATCACTTGTAAACATACTGGATGTGGCGAACCTGTTAGAATCGCATTATAGTGTCTTTGCTACTGCGGGGAATCCTGCACGTGCGTTTGTCACGCCGTGTTCGTGAAAGTCAGCTTCTGCGCAGAATACCAGAATGGAATGAGATGAAAGGCGGGGGTCCTAATCTTAACAGTTTCGGGGTCTGTTCAGTCATAATGAATATAAAATATACAAACGGGCGAAACAATCCGTGAACACAAATCTAATATAGGCATATATAAAAACCAAAATAAAAAATGAAACGTAAGCAGAAAAACAGAGAACACACAAGAAGCCTATTGTCTGATGTACCGGATCACATCGTGCTCAGAGTTAAAGATACCACAGTAAGTCGAAGTTGACTTAAAATGAATCCATAATCTGCTTAAACATTTGCCACTTCTGTGGGAACGGGATAAATTCGTATTATCCCAAACAGGGTGCGGAATGAAGTTTTGCCATTGAAAACAAATTTTTCACGGTATTTAAAAACCTTTAACGGTGTAGATGAAGAGAAATTATTTTTATTGTGTTCCTAAATTCCCGAGTAAAGAATGAGGGGGATATAAAGACAAACATTAGAAAGTAAAGGGGACGATGAGGGAAGGAAATCCATAGACAAATTTATGTAAATTATTTCGTTTGAATATGCCGCTTAATTAACATGCATTTTCACAAGTCTCTCAAAAAACGTTTTGTTTGATAACACGTATTTAAACTGCCTATTGTGTTGTTGTCGCCAATTCAATTGTATAACACACAGAAGTACCCTTTCCTTCTTAGCAATCGACGGCATTTACTTTGACTTCTCAAAAGCTTTTGATAGAATCAACCATATATGTCTTTCCAATGAGCTCAGACGATTGGGATGAAATCACCTCTAATTACCTGGTTCACTTCATATCTAAAAAATCGACATTTAAAGGTCAGGGCGAACTTCGCTTTCTCTCAGGCTATGGAATGTCTTAGTGGGGTCCCCCAGGGTTGAGTACTAGGACCTCTTCTTTTTTGACTTTTATAAGTGATCTTCCACAACAAGTATCGTCTGACTAATCACTTTTTGCTGATGATGTGAAACTTTGGAGAGAGAGATACGCAATCAAAAGGATATAATGGCACTTCAGGAGGATGTGACTAGACTTCAAAGATGGGCGGACGACAACGGACTTACCTTTAACACTTCAAAGTGTAAAGTAGCCCATCTGAGACATGTTGCAGACTACAGTTACAACTTAGGAAACTCCTCTCTAGAAGTATCTCAAGTTGAAAAAGATTTACAAGTGCTGGTACCCCATGATTTGAAATCTTACGCTAACTGTGACAAAATGCCTTTCGAGAAAACCTCACATTGGTAACATTGAAGGGCATTTTTGGCTAGTTTGACAGAGGAACTTTCCACATGATCTTCAACAGTTTTATTTGTTCCCATTTAGAGTATGGAAATATAGTATTCCCCCCTCACTCCAAAAGGATAAGGACACTCTGGAGCGCATCCAACGGCGAGCCATGAAATCAGTTCAGAGACTCAAATTCAAGCCTTGTGAAGAGCGTCTCCAGTCAATAAACCTTTGCCCACTAGAGTATAGGCGTCTTAGAGGCGACCTTCCAGTGGATTACAGTATCCTTAACACTTCTGCACATCCCCTTAAGTTTAGCTCTAACACAAACCTAAGGAGTAACACCCAGAAACTAAAGACACAACTACTACTCCCTAAGAGTTGTCAAATTCTGGAATTTGCTGCCGGATGAGCTAGTCCAAGCGACTTCCCAGGAGTCATTTAAGAGGCAACTTGACCTATTCTTACGGACTAAGGATAATATCTTACTATGATTTACCAATTCCCTTTTCCTCTATTATCGTTAATATACCTAGATTCCTGCCTAGAGGTATTGGCGATCCACTGCTATTAGATACGGAATGCCGTTAAGCGAAAGCTTCTTTTATTCCGTCGACAACCATTTGAACCATTTGAGGTCATAGTCAATCAAGGTGACGCCGGACTGATGACCTTGGACCGGTTTAAAACTATAAGCTGTAAGTCAGACGTCGGCGTTCTTGTTTTGGCATTGGTTTTTGTAATAAGCGATATGAGTCGTTCTTTGCAGTCCGAAATACCGAAGAGGGTTAGCCCCATCTCGGATTTCGGGAAAGATAAAAATAACACTATTAGGTCACACTCCGATGTTATCTGGAAGTACACTACTTTGTGGCACCTTCACCGTTAAATATTGAAATAACTTCCAAAAGGTGCATAAAGAAGAAAAAACCCGTCATAAGTTTGAAAGATATCCTGTTTGGTGGCACTTTTGAAGCGTACTTTCATATATTTAAGCATATATCCTCGAAACACTTTCAGGTTTTAGTATGTGATTCGTGTTTCTTCAACTAAGTGAACTCATATTGAATGCTTCATGGTTACATATTATTATTATTATTATTATTATTATTATTATTATTGGGACAAATATCGGTACAAAGGGGCACCGAATACATATGCGCCACACAAGTCACTTGATTTGTGTGTGGGCTGTGATACTGCTCGGGTGCCCAAACCGAAGCAGGATGATTACATCTAGATAATACATTAGTCATTCGCATGTCTGATACTCTAGTTTATTGGGATTTAATAATCAGCAGTCAAGACAGTCTTTTGTTCGTATTCTGTCATGTAATCAAATTCTCCAACCTGAGTTTTACAGAATTATTACAGAAATTCGCTTAAAAGGAGGGAATATTCTCAACGTTTGAAATTGGTATAAAGAATCAATGACTCCTACATCCATTTTTTGCCTTAGTCCTACCTTGTATCATCGATTTCTAAATATTTGTGCACAGTGTAGTCTAGTCTGGTTTTATTGTACTGTAACTAAATGCCCAACTGTTTAGAGAACGCCCAAGTTTTAGGACAGTAAATTGGACACTATTAACAACTAACAGGGTCTTTTATGATTCTGAGTACGGGTGTGTGTCTTTATTTTTTTCTAAGTTAGTTGTATTTCTGGTGAAATATTTCTGTCGGAAGTTGTTGTTTGTAGCGCTATGATCAATTGTCATCAACAACCGGTTCAACGTTGGTAAAATGCTTGAGATAGTGTATCTAATTCTTAACAATGTAGTTTGTAAAAAACTTATTCTTCATCCGGTTTATACAGATTTGTTTCATTTCGCTCACTGGATATATGCAATCTGAACGTATAGGGTTCATGAGTGATGTTCGTTTCTTTCAACAAATCTTGTACCTATAACTGCTCCCTTCTGTTTAGTCCAATTTATTTTGTGTAATCAATACGTCGTTGGTAGGGGTCCGTGTCACTATTGTAACCATTGATTGAAGTCTGTGAGTGATATAACTCAAAATATATCACAGTGGCGTCGGTGTATACACTCTTGCTTTTCCTTTAAACCATGAAGTTAAAATTGTTTTATATCTTTTTTTGGAGAACTGTTTCTTTTTTCCTGTACTATATCCTTATACACAATTTTTCTTTTAAATATTTCTACAATTAAAGTAACTACAATGATTTTGGTGTTCATCTTGTTGTGCTAATGAGGTATGGCAACTTGGACTGATGCATATATGTGCTTAGTTCTACGTCATAGGTGACTGACTGATGGATCGTTATCTTTGTCGTCCAACTATTAATTACGTCATTCAGAAGTATAACGCTTTGCTACAGAAGCTGTTTATTACTTTGATTTCTTTCCAACTTTCCAGTGTAAACAAGTTCCATTGTTCACAATACTAATCCCAATCACTAATATATTTAGCATTCTAACAGTCGACGTTTAATTTTGATGTTGTATGTAAGTTGTCGACTTCATCTTGATATTTTGTCAGTATGTCTCAAAAACAGATCAAGTCCTTTTGGTTGATTTTTTAATTTTCTCTAAATAGGATGTCGGATGATATATGGGAGGAGAGTGCTGTCAAAGGATTTCAATTTGATTTAGAGGAAGCTGATAATACTTCAAGTAGTTTATCACTAAATTCTACCATCATACTTTGTTTAGCGTACTCTCATATTCTCGGTGATAGCTTTGGTGAAACATTTTGTGATGAATCAATAACAATAGGTATGAATCTCAATTAGTATCACTGTGATAATCTAAATTTCACCTAACAGACTTTAACAATCAATTTTGTACAATATGCCATAACTTAATCGGTAATGAGATTTACTATGAAAAAGATGCTACGTTCTGTTCAGAGGTTCAAATACAATACAACAGTTCTTTAAATTTTGATCTTTATTGTAACAGGCATGCTGGTTGAAAGCAATTACAATAGCTCTTGATGATTTTGTTGTTGGGGGAATGAGTACATGGCCATTGAGTACTTTTGTTTCACAATCTTCTAAATCAGTTATTTTAAATTTGACTACGAGCACTTTTGATGGAAATTTAATTACAAAGGTTAACATCCGCTTTCGAAATCTATCTATTTCAAATTATCACTTCTTACAGATTGTTAATGAACTTAGGAATTCATTATCAGAAAGCACTTTTGAAAACATTTTGCTAAAAAACCCCGTAGCCGGGTTTCATTTTCTTAACTTCCTTAGAAATACTGGACAGTTAGTAGACTTAAAGAAATATATGAAGTGAGTTAATTTGGGTATAAATAACTTAATTTGTTCAGAATACTAGGTTTTATCAGAGAAAGTGAAGTAAGCTTACCTTGTATCTCAACTTATTTACAAAATGCTTGTTGCTGTAAAGATTTCTAGCTATAGTCAGTTGATGCAAAAGTTGATGAATTTATCGTCGGGTCATGTAGACGAAGTTAATAAACATTTAATGCAGATTGCAGAGTATTTTAAAATATAGTTTTTTTTTACTAACTTCGCTTAGATCTGAAGTAGCCTCAAATCTTGCTGTTAAAAATATTGTTGAAATCTCTTCTGAATTGGCTGTTATCTTGGATTATCAGAACAGCTATGTATTTATTTCTGTTCACTCGATAATTAGTGTAATTTGTTTATATTAGGAAAGAGAATGGAGTTCATATTACAGTGAACTTCTTATACGTACAAACGCCCGGAAAAACGCTACTACACTTCCTGAGAGTTTGTTGATGCAGCCATTATGCGAAACTCTTGGTGCATTGGCGAGGATGGATCAAAGCATTAAGACCAATAGTCGGGCTGAAACTCTTGGGAAAAAGTTCAAAGCACGTGGTTTTTAAAATTTGATTTGAAGTAGTTACTTTTTGCTCTTAATAATATTAAGCTACTTTATACATATGTATAAGATTTGGTTTTCGTAATTTTTATATGGAATGTTCTAACCAGTCATTATGTTCAGTCGGCATATTATCTCTTGGTTAGAAAAAAATTACAGGTGTATACTAGTCGGATGATGTAAACAAGAAGAAATATAGGCTTAAATATCTCATAAGCAGTCACTCAAGTATTACGGTCTAACCATAACTGTTATCTTGACATGACGGTAAAATTTGCTAAATATGATAACCAATCATGTTACATTTACTGAGACGTTTGTCTCTTATTCTTTAGCCATGCAAATTATTTAGAGGAAGTTAAAAGCCAAATCATTTTTGAGTTTCTCAAAATCCATAAAACCAGGGGTTTTGGTGGAGGACAGTCCTTTAAATAAATAAAACACTGATCTACGGAGTTTCAGGTCCTGGTGATGGCGTTTTTACCTTATGTCGATCAATCAAACCTGGGACTTATATCAGAATTCAGGAATACAGGTGTACTTACTAACACTATATTTATTCTTAGATACAACCATGCTACTCGACGTTCATTAGTTTGTCGTATGCTTATCACTGGTTGGCATATACAATAATGGATCAGCTTACTAAGATCTCTGAACTCAGACTTATGACCACAATCAAGTTAGCAGTTGCTGATTGTGTGAAGTGATTACTTGAAGTGGTTTCAGAATTGCCCACTTTCTGGATTCATTCTCTTGAAAACCATTTGAGCTGTATGCTAAGACGAAGGTTCCTCAGTCGGGATCCACATAAATTATAGGGCATAGCCTAAAATAAGTCAGCGATCTAGGTACGCTCTTTATCTTTCTCTGAATTTTAGCTATTTTGGGATATTATGCCTTTAATTAGTTCCGTTACTTTGATTTTCCACTATTGTTGACCTTGATATATATTCTTTATTGAATCTCGCTTTCTGTGTTAATTTAAAGTGTAGCAAACTAAACCGATAACTTCTTTTCCAGTTCTCATGTTCTTTTACATATAACAAGCCAAATGGTGAATAGCCTCCCACTTACCCTCAATCTAGTATTCTCCTTTGAATGCTGTATGGTAAATATGTTGAGTAGATGCTCTGTCAATTTCTCCACTGTTCGATGCCTATAATTCACGTAGACGTTTCATGCTGACGCTGGTATGCTCTGAAATAACTAATAGTTAGTTAGACTCTTATATCAGTTGTTCACACCAAGATAAAGATGTTTGGATTTCTTTGAATAGTGTGTTCTGGCTATCGGAATTGTCTCCTGATCCTTACATTACTTGTTTTCTACGTCCACATTCAAATTATTTTTGTCATGCGTCATAGGTTTTTTGTTTTCTCTCATCGTGTGGAAATAATTCTTGTTATATATTACTAATAATTAATATCCTTATATTTCAGATATCGGATGAACAGTTTAGATGGTTGTTGATAGAGCCCCTTGTTCAGTCACGAAACTGGGACGATCTGGAATTTATCATGTTAAAAAAGGTAAACTGACTGGTTACATAAATCGACTATAATTTCTAAAGAAATCTTTGTCGCGTCGTATGGAGGTTACCATCCCAACTGACCGTTTTATCCTTCATCTCAATTCATTAGGTGTCCCAAACAATGTAAGTCGCTTTGCAGTTATTATTTCATAATATTCACTTGTTCTACAACATGTAATTCTGCAAAGAAAATAAAGAACATTTAAATGACCCAAAACTACAAATGAATTGTCATATATTTTAGTACTATTTTAGAGTAAGTAGATAAAAAGAACAGTACAACTGACATCCATTTTGAGATGCATTTTTAATTCCATCTGCGTTGAGAAGACTATTTATTTTTCATCAGAAATAAATTGTTGTAACTCTAGGTTTGATGTTTACCTGCGTGAAATGACGCTTTGTTATGGTACATATGAGACCTAATTGTTACTGGGCTTCTATTAATCTTAGGTTGTTTCTATATCAAGGTTGTAAGTAGTTGATTTGGAACTTTACAGTTATATTGTTGTGGTTGTATCCTCTATTTTAAACCTGGTAGATCAGGAATATATTCCTTAAAAAGGTAGATCATAGCATTGACGAATTGAAAGACTTACATTTTCACTCATTTGCGAACTAGTTTACTGAACACGGCTCAGTTAATGTATTGCGAAATCTTTATAACTTATTAGGAATATCACCACACTCAGAGATGTCTGTTTTTTGTAAATAGCCTCAGATTGATGTTAGTATCCTGTTCAAATCTGTTATCTAATGGTTTGTCACTTAAAACTATATAACACAAATCAATCTTGTTCTCTTTACCTCAAACAACTAACTGTCAGGGGGGCACTATTTAACTATTTGGGGAATCATACCGGAATCTCACATCTTGTGATCGTGTCCTTGACCTTTAATCTCTCATGTATTCTATCATATCTAGTCGGTCTTATTATCCCTCTTTCTAATGGTTATTTATTTTAATTTTTATTGTGAAATGAACTCCATCATTTCCACTCAGTATATTAATGCACACTGATATATAAAACTTGTTTATTAGTTTTCTCGTTTAAATACGGCTTTTTAAAATAAAATTGTCGAAAAAATACTGATTGAACGTCATCTTCAAACATTTTTTTGTTTTATCTGTGATTACGAAAACCTACCATCTTGAGGATATTATTTGCTTTTGAGTTTAGATATGATCAACCAAGGGCTACGAACATGGGTTTACTGTTTGTTAACACTCATCTGTAAACTTTATTTAACTTAGAGTTCCACCCCATTCAGAGACCTTACCAATGAGCTAGCTATCTGATGACTTGATTCTTTTCAGACTAAGTCAAAAAAGTCGGTTAGTAGATGGTAATGAATTCAGTGTCTAGTCCTTAGAGGTTGTCGAATTCTAAGATGAGATTTGGTGAAGAAATCCTTCCTCGGGAGTTTCTCAAAACTGTGAATCTGCACAATGATAATCTGTAGTATTTTTGTGGGTAATACTAACAGATTAATAGTATAGCACAAGTTTCTAAAGCTTATAGGTTACATACACAGTAAGAGGTCGGAGCAGTACTGTTTACATACACAATTCGCGCATTCCTGTTTTTACAGAATTGGCTACAGTGATGCCAATAAAAACAAGATCATTGTTTTTAAGTCACCATCAGTTGAGAGAGAAATCCGACCATATTTCAGGCCACGCGTCTTGGGATTTCTGAACTTATAGGAAACAGATTATTTCTACTTTTAACTTCAGTAAATATTTCGACAGCAAGTTACAGTGCCGACCAAAGTACGTTACAAATAAAGTCTGTCAGCAAGATTCCAATATGTTACATTAGATATGGCAGTAGATTGAATTCTAGGAATCATGGTTTTTTATTATAGCCTATTTCTTGGATAAGAATAAAATATCTTTCGATAGATTTCCCGATAATGCAATCAGCTCCTTAACTAGTAACACCCCATTTATACACAATCTGGCGCCTAGTGGAGTTCTTACCAGCTGACTCGATAAAGTAGAAAGAACTAATATTGCAGTTGCTGTAGCATACAACCGATTACACTGCTCTAAAGATACTATCTAAGGTTCCTAACTTAGTCAAAGACCCACCAACTACCTGGCTAAAATAATTTCCTATATTTCGAAAAGTCATCTCCTACCTTCATCTCAGTTACAAGTTGCTGATATGCGGTTTCTGTCCTTGCATTTAGGTATAAACCCTCTGAATATGAATGAAGAAATCTTTGAACTTGCAAGCCATTAAAGGTACATATATAAAGTGTATCGTGTTCACATACACTTCCTGCCACATTGACTACATCTCTTGGATCTAGTTGTTTCGTTTTCTTCTTGTTACACTCAGTGAAACTGGTTGCCCATTACTAATCTGCTTTTGCTCAGTTTTGGAAACTGACAGCTGTTGGTACTCAAATGTAGTCATAATCTAGGTGGTTTTAATTTTTATTCAATTACCTCAACTGGAGTGATTATTTATGAAATATTTAGTTTAGTTTCGATAGAATAGTGAAAAGGCAGTGTCGTAGTATGGTGTTGTCAATATATTGGTTATACCCACATGTCTATGAAAAAAACTGTTCTACATCTGATATCATAGGTAGATCTCCAAATAAACTCGTTCTGAGGAAATTATGTTGCCATTCTTAGAACACATAATGATATTCTCTATGATGTTTGTGAAATTAACTGAGTGATACATTTAAGACAATGATAGATTTGTTGAGTCAATGAATTAAGGGTTAATCTCTTACAACGGTATTACTGTTAAGTTACTTCATAATCTGAATTTTCATTTAGTGTTTCTCTTTTTTAGATTATTGAAAGTTACTTGAAATATCTAAGTGATGATGAGTTTATACAGATTGTTATTCGGTTAAATATGGTCGATGAAGCGGTTAAAGTAAGTTAAATTGTTTGTAACAATTTATAACGAACAACCCTTATGGCTACACATTATTCAACGTTAATTACATTTACATTCATTATATAGGGTCCCATCACAGCCTCTAGTACTTCCAAAAATGGAGGTTTACTTCCCATTAGTGAAACAGTAATTTGGTGGAAGATTTAGAAAGGTCTCCAGTGCATTTAAATTTCTGTACTTAGAAACACAAAAAGCGGAATTAAATGGAATCACAATTGTAGCCTGCGGTACAATATGTTGAAAAGGGCATGTATCAAGCACTATAGTACTCTTATTCTTAACAGGTAGAAATGTAGTGAACGACAATGCAAGTGGGAACAACCAAATGTGTTTGAATCCAAAATTACAGAATATCTTATTAAAGTCTGAGAACCATACAAAAAGTACTTCATTTGCAAAATGTCCATCAATCGTCTCAGACTTCATTATTCCTTCATTTCCATAACAATCACTCTCGTCCTCTTTCAGATCTTCTCAACCCTCTGCCGCCAGCTATCCCACTTTCGGTTGGTGACATTTATTTATTTATTTATTTGAACACATAAATATTGGTACAAGAGAGCGCCAATATATATGCGCCACACAAAACAATGGGAATTCGAAGAGAAAAAAAAAACTAAGGAACGCAAAAGAAAAAGAGAGTAATGACGAAGAGGTACAATCAGAAGAAATCTTTCAGGTAAAGGAGACACAACCACTTTTTATGAAGAAAGTAAAAGAAGGTTACAGCAGGATCGCCACTGGCTTCTATTCTGAGCCATATCTGATAACGTCTCTAGCCACTGTGTAGCACCATCTCTCGGACCCCAGCCAGGGAGTCGTGAAGGACCAACACAAGCCAGTTCTTTGCAGCTTTCTTTCATGCCACGACACCATGTCATGCACTGACCACCTCTCCGCTTCTTCCAACCAGTCCCAGAGTCGGCAAATAATGCACGACGTGGAATTCTCTGGGACGACATTCGGAGAACATGTCCAAGCCACCGAAGTCGGTGTTTCAAGATGGTGACACCAATTGAGTTATCATCTCTGTGCCCGAACACACGATGCCGAACCTCTGCATTACTGACATGGTGTTGCCACTGAATGTCAGCAATCCTTCGGAGACAGCGATGATCGAACACAGAGAGTCGTCTAACGTCCTCAACTCGGAGAGGCCAGGTTTCACAAGCATAGAGCAAAACTGCTCTCACCGACGCGTTGTAGATCCGGCCTTTTACAGCCAGACTAACATCACGAAGGCGCCAAAGGTGGCCCAGATTGGCATAAGCCGCTCTGGCTTTCACTATTCGTGCATTGATCTCATCACTCACACCCCCACCAGCACTTATGCAGCTACCCAGATACACGAACTTCTCAACTACGTCTATCTGCTCACCATCCAGGGTGAGTACAGGATTAGAATCCTGCCAGTCTTGTAGAAGTACTTTGCACTTCGAAGGTGCAAAGCACATACCATACTTACGGACACTGATTGCCAACTGATTAAGTGCGGATTGCATGCCTTGGGCATTATCGCACAGTAAGACAATATCGTCCGCATACTCAAGGTCGAGAAGTCTTTCTCCAGGCAACAGATCCACACCACCATTACTTACATTCATCAGAGCTGTTTCCAGAATGTCATCGATGGCAAAGTTGAAGAGGAATGGTGAGATTGGGCAACCCTGCCTAACCCCACTGCTCGAATGGAACAATGGAGAGAGGTGGTTGTATGCCCTCACTCTGCCTGAGGTGTTTTTATATAGGGCTTTTAGGATGTTAATAAACTTCTCAGGCACACCCTTCTTCAATAGACAATCCCAGAGAACAGTCCTATCCAACGAATCGAAGGCAGCCCTGATGTCAAGAAACACTACGATTGTTGGCCTTTGAAAAGTATGGCGGTGTTCTAACATTTGGCGGAGGGTGAAGATATGATCAATACATCCTCGACCAGAACGAAACCCAGCCTGCTCCTCGCGACTCAATCTTTCTCGGGTTTTGAACAACCTACGAAGAATGACGGAAGCCAATAGCTTGGACGCAATCGGAAGTAAACTTATCCCCCGATAGTTGTTACAAGAACGACGTGAACCCTTTTTAAAGATAGGGACAACTATCGACTCATTCCATGACGTTGGTACACTCTCTAGTTCCCAAACCTTTGTAAACAACGTCGTCAATTCCTTAGTCAAAAAGTCACCACCATCTTTAAAAAGAGCCGGAGGTAAGTCATCTGGGCCAGGTGATTTGTAACGCTTCAAGAGTTGGAGTTCCTTGCGGACTTCCTCCTCATTTGGTGGATCAGTCGTCACCGGCCATGGAGGGCAGGACAGTCTGACCGATGTTGCCGGAGCAGCAGGCCAGTTGAACTGCCCTTCGACGGATTCTGCTCATCGTCCAAGACGTCGATGGATGTTAGTGATTGGCATTCCATCATCCTCGCAGATTGTTTCACTCACACCAGACTTCTTGCTGCCAGTGGCTCGGATGAGCTGGAAGAGCTTCCGGCAGTTACCAGATGCAGCTGCTGCTTCCAGCTCATTAGCACGCATCGACCACCAGGCTTCTCGGTCCTTACGCAAGCTTTGCCCGATTTCCTTACGTAAAATCCTTCGTTTATGGTCAAACTCACGGTTACCCGGAGTAGACCGACGGGCTTCAATGAGTTGTAAGGAACCAGAAGAAACCCAGTGCTTAAAAGCGGGACGTTTCGCAAACCCACAACTGACTGTTCCCGCCATTTTCATGGCGTCATGCAATTGCAACCAATGCTCATCTATACTTTTCGGTGGAGTGGTAGCTAGCCTAGAGGCTAGCTCGGTTCGATACTTACTTGCAACAGAAGTTGCAACCAGCTTGCTAACATCAATCCGTTGATGGCGTTCACTTCGTTGTCCACTGAAAAGTAAGGCAAGATTGGCGCAGACCAAGGCATGGTCAGAGTCCAGATAGGTACTCCAAAAGGAGCGGCAGTCTTGTACACAACCACGCCAGCGGTAGCTGATCGCGATGTGATCAATCTGAGTCCAGGCTTGAGATGCAGAGGGAGGACGCCAGGTGGCACATCGGCGATGACTGTGCCGAAAGTTAGTGCTAGCCAGAAACAGGTTGTGGTCTGCGCAAAGTTGCAGTAGACGGTCCCCGTTATCTGACCTGCGACCAACGAGTCCCCATCGGCCACCTAAACGACTCTCTTCTGTGCCTAGACGCCCGACCTGAGCATTCAAGTCTCCGGCTAGTACTACAATATCTGTCGAACGCACTTTCTGGAGAAGAACTGATAACTGGTGGTAAAACTCATCCTTGATTGCATCCGGGCTGCAATCTGTCGGGGCATAGGCGGAGATGACGAAAAGACATCGTTTCTCACGCCGATTTCTTCTCACTTTGATGGAACTTTCTAATCTAACAGCACATAACCGACTGTTAATGGGGATCCAATCGACTAGTGCTGCCTCAGCTCTAGCGCTTAGTGCGACACCAACGCCAGCAAAACCAGACGAAGATGCCACAGGGTCCCCGGATAAGCGCACGTAAAACAAGCTTTTCGAAGCGACAGATGGAGATCGAATTTGTAGTACTTCGCCAGAGTCTTGAATACGGGTCTCGGATAGACAACACACGTCGATATTAAGACTTTCCAAAGACATAGCCAGCCCTATCTGTTGTCCGACCTGCATAAATGTGCGAACGTTGAAGGCAGCCAGTTTGAATGATGCACGTGGTTTCAGAAAATCTGCTTCAGTCCTCGTATTCGGTGGTAACATACAATTTACAACGGGACAGTGACTCGAGAACGTTTAGATACAGTCGGAATTCCACCAAAGACGAGCCGCTGTATAAGTATAAAAGAAGGTGAATAATGTGGAAAATAATAACAATAATGATAATAATAACAATAATGACAATAATAGTAGTAATAATAATATTAGTATTAATAATGACAGTAATTGTAGTGATCATAATTTGAATCAATTGATTGTTTTTCAAAGCGACAAAGGTAATTTCCATGGACATAGAGTTCATCATTTGTGTGTGGGCTGTGATACTGCCCGGGTGCCCAAACCGAAGCAGGTGGTTATCTTAGGGGGCCACTCCCCGAGCCTTTGACCTAAAGGTCTAACCCACAAGGCAGTGGAGCATCGTAAGGAGATGCAGTCCCATGGTAGCCGGTGACCAACGATTGGTTCATACGCCATTCGTTCCCGCAGGATACTGGAGCCCATGTGCACCATTGGTTTGGAATCCGGTTAAAGCGCCGGACATTCGCTTTTCGTCCTCTCATTTTCGTAAACAACACCCCCGCCACGAGAAGGCAATGAGTAGGACTTCCCTGGCAGAGGCTATATACGCGTGGCCGTGTGAGAGTATTTCGAGAGGGAGAGCGGACTCTCCCCACTCTCGGCCGTACCAGGGCATTCAGGGGGCAAAAGAAGCGGTTGGTGACATATACTACTCATATCTGTCGACATAAGTAGAACACACTACAGTTACATCCTAAATGTCAGTTCACCTCAAGAAAATTTGTAAGTTATGTCTATCCGGGAGATTAGCTAACTGTGAGTCACTCGCCGGTGTAGAAACACGTAAACTGACAGTCGTCTGTTACATCAATCACGAATTCTTCAGTTGTTTTCTTTTCATTTCGTCATTCTAGTTTGTCGTTATAGTTAAGTATACGCGCTCAGAATAATAACTTCTGATCATCAAGTTAGAAAATGTAACAAAGAATTGATATACCAGCCATAATATTATTCCTAGTCCAGTAAATTACCGCACGATTATGATAAAGTACACAACGCACATATCCGGATAGAGCAAATGAACCTTAATTACACTGTTGTTTCACCGTGAAATTCAGTTTGAGATATTCCAAAACGTACCAGTTCTTAAAGCATCTGAATAATGTCTTTTATTTCAGCTCTGCTTGGAAAAGCGAAATATCAACGCTTTGAAGGAACTCATGTCTCAAATACCTGGCAATCATCAAAAGAAGAAAGAAATATCTCACTATCTATCAGTTCCTGTAAGAAATTTTTTTATTCTTATACTTGACGTCGTTAACTAAATGGTAGTAGGTACTGCGGCAAATATGTTTCGTTGGATATTTCGATTATGGTATTGTATCATATCCGAAAAACATGATCCTCACAGAGATAAGCTAGCTTACGTGTAAATTGGCGTTATATAATTCGAACGAGCGAGCAATTAATCGTTTAAAAGTATTTAGAGCATGCGTTTTGAAAGTATCTGGTCAGCCGAAAGCTTTCTTATGCTGGTAGCCGTGAACTTCGGTTTCGAGGCAAGACATTACCTGTGTAACGGTAAAACTGACCACTATATTTTGACAATTCCGTCTATCAGACCGGGACCCTTTAAGTGTTTGTCAAATATTGGAACTCCAAGGCTAAAGATAAGGTCCTCCAAATAAAGCTAGGAATTTTTAATTTGATCATCACATACATTTATAGACTTGCCAATCACGCTCCTAATTTGGATTCGCTTCACTCACTATTATATCCAAATGAATACATACCGAAACTTAATATCTTTGGAGTCAATATGAGTCGTTATAAGACATCAAGATATAATGAAGGCTGCTATGCATAATAATAAATTTAAATCGTTCAATTTAAAAAACAGCTTAATTTAGAGAATATTTTCCTGGCATTTTTGTTGTCCGTAAACAGATTTCACATAAAACTTGGTTCTTCATGAACATGTTCCTAGGTCTTTATAATTATTCACCTATTTCTCCAGTGTTTTGCGATTATATCCCACTGACATTCAAATAAACCAACTGATCGGTGCAGCTGACTAACAAACTGGTGATAAATTCACTTGATCATGACTGAGGGTGTTGTGCTAAATTTATGCCAGATGAAATACATTTAAGCAGTTAATTAAACCTTTGGATTACATCGCATTTATTTTATTAAAGAAACTAGCATTTGAAACATTTTCTGTTTTCAAAATACGTATAAATAACGCTAGAATAATCATTTTCTTAACTGTAGGTTGCACAGTGGAAAGACTTTGTTTGTAGACAAGCGTTTTGAAACGAACTTTTCATTTTACATTTTTGAGAAACACTGATGAGCTGGATTTTGAGCCTCGACTTTTGTACGCACATATGTATCGTCCCGTTATCAACTGATATAACAAACGAATAATGGTGAATAATCCTTGCGATTCCCGGGTTTCACTTCGATCAGTATGTCTTTGTAATCGTATTATCATAGTTGTAATTCCAAAGATAATGCAAATGATTGTTTTTATCGTGAGAGTTACGAAGATGTTCTCAATTTCGTGGGATAATAATCTGAAAGGCGAGAAAACTACAATATTATTGTGTTAAAAAATATTCAAGATCTACTTGCAATCTTTTGAAAACCGGATAAGTAGTAGTCCTTGTACCATTTTTGAGCAAACATTATGTACAATGACGTACATACAAACGTACTTATATAAGAGATTTGTTTAGAGAAATATAGCGAGAGCCAAGTAAATTCTTAAAGAATGAAATCTAAATGAAACATTAGATTTGTGCGGCTGTCGTTAAATATTCAGATGGAGACCCTTAATGAATTTTCGCCTAGTTAAGGCTGTTACCGGCGGAAGAGCTCTATTTATTACATTCTACTGGCGGATAGCGAGGCAAGTTTAGTGAAATAAATATTGGACTTACGGACATAATTTTAAAGATAGTTTTCAGTGTTCGTTTTAATATAAAACGAAGTCAACGAACATTTAGTTAGCATTCTCGATATTTCGATCATTTTTTCATTCTTGTGCAGATACTTTAACAATAAACACAGCAGTTGGACCTTTTTGCCATGTAGTAAACACTAAACGAGAACAGAGCTCATAAACAACGAGTGATATCGAGAAGCAAAAGAGCTGGTACTAAACCTCAATATTCAAAGGAAGATAAAAAAAAGTGAACAAAACCTGTGGGAATGAGATTGGTTTTTTCCTGCTTTGAACATAGATTATTATGTTAGCAGACTTCAGTGGTGGAGGATTGCAGTACGTGATATCACTCAAGAAATTACTTGAGCTATATGCACAGCAACGCAGTGAAAATCAATAGAAGTTTCCGTGTCTGTAGAGGTTAGGCTAGCCACTAATTTATCACAGTTGAGTCTCTCAAGAACTGTATAGTAGCTAGCCAATCATATATAGCGTAAGACCTAGCATATACTTATTGGTCAAATTTGTTGCACTGATAGGAAGATGAATACCAAGAAAATAAAGTAATAACAGTAACATCAATTATAACAGAAAGCTTAGAAGCCTTATTTGGTTTGGAAAATCAGTGTGTTGACCTAATTAAGTGATCGAGTAGATACTTCAGGAAATTGACGCACTACTGTTTTGGTTCTTTAATTAACTTTCGTCGCAAGAACCATTGACTAAATACCGTCTTCTGACAGATTAATACGATTAGTTACTTGTAGTGAAGAAAGTCTGTGTAACAACACCAGAAAATATTTGATTCATATATCTGCAGTCAGGTCTACAACGTACTTTGCTATTTCAGGATTTCTGAGTCTTGACTAGAAATCGAATGAATACGGAAGCTAATAGTTTACACATGATGTGACTTTCGTTTGTAGCGATCTAAAAAGGATTTCCGTTCTTTTCATAAAGTAGGACAATGATAGCCGGTAACTTGCCCCTCGATTATCCAATATCAACCAATCTCTCTAAGAAGAATGTGCCATCATTTTAAGAGATTTTCTGGAAGTAAGATGTCAAGACTTTTTGAGTTACCTTGCCTTAAGGTTATTATAGATGTAACATCGTTTCGAATAGAAGAAATTACTAATGTTTCAATTGGGCTTTTTGTTGGTATTCGGAAAATAACAAAAAGACGATTGAAATATTTCTCTTTGTTTGGAAGTAGATTGAAAATCCGTCCTTCGTACGGATAGCTCCAGAGAGACGATTTTTATTCTACGTCTCTTTGATGAGTAAAGAACGGCTCAATCTCACTTTATTAACTTTCATTAACGACGTTTAAGAAAACAACCTTAGTCATCTGTGCATTTGCGTTTCCTTCAATTATTGTTGTCTTTGGAAACCACTGAAATGAGTTCGTAAGACGTTACTGAAGCACCATAACCATTATTATTCTATGTGTTATTAAAAACGTCACCATTGTTTATATAACTGACTAAAGATTATCCCAATTTATGTCGAATTAAAAATCCCATTTATAATCAATTAAATTCTTAGGTAGTACCTCCTGAAATATATTTTTAAGATAGAAAAATTGTTGAGGGAGCAGGTTTTATAGCAGACAAGATGAAATTAAGTGCTACTGGTGTGGAAGGTAAGTACTTGCTAGTCGTTTACATTGGAATGATATCTCGTTCAAAAACTCGGGAAATCTTATCGACCTGGAAGTGTAACACCGGAACCCAAGGGACAACTAGATGTGGCCAGTCACGTACGACTCTTTTATATGTTGTTTTAGTTCTTCATTTTTTAAGTCTTACCATCGGTACCAAAAATGTTTAGATTAAGGTAGTAAACTGTTTTAAAAGTCCGTTTTTATTACTTCTTGCGTTTTATTCAAAGTGACGGTAATTCTCCGGAATAATCTTAATACCACTGCACATCAGTACGTTTACCTGCATGACTTCGGCCAACATTAATCCAACTTCCTTTTCAGGTTCCTCAAGAAATACCCTTCCACGGTGTAGGCAGCCGGGAAGTGACACCAGCCCTCATACCCGTAATAGCACACGAGATCAAGTTGGTCACACCCAAATCCTTCCTACACCTCTTAAAACCATTCTTATCTCCCCGACTAACCCTTCTCACGACCTTGGGTTTGTTGCTTTTAGTCTTACCGCTCTTCAAACGACTTGTCTAACATGGTAGGACCTTGAGGAACGGTTGTTCCAGCCAGTATAACTCGGTTGCTTCATCACGATAGGCAAGCCCGACCACCACGTCAAGGTAGCAACAACGGTCGGGTATGGACCAGATATTCACACTACGTTAGGTTCTAGAACACAGACACACATTCAGACGCCCCACAATCGTAGTATTTCTTGACCTTAAGGCGGCATTCGACTCTGTCGATCGTAAGGTTCTATGGCAATGTTTGTCACTGAAAGAAGTACATTAACCTTGTAAGGGCTCTCTACTCGAGCACAACTGGTAGAGTGAGAGCTTATGGCGAACTGTCATCAGAATTGATTACCTCAAGTGGTGTTCGTCAGGGCTGTTCACTCTCTCCATTCTTGTTCAACTTTGTCGTCGACGTACTTTTGGAGGTAACACTTTCCTCGTCTAGATTTCCAGGGGTTGAACTTCTACCGGGAGCTTCACTTGTTGACTTAGAATATGCTGGTGACATAGTTCGATTTGGTGAAGACGCTGACAAAATGCAGAATCTTCTGACCACTCTAAGCAACAATGCAAGCATGTTCGGGATGCGATCCTCCCCCTCGAAATGCAAAATGTTGCTTCATGATTGGGTTGCATCGAAACCCAAACTAATGATAGAAAGTGATGTAATTGAGCGCGTCGATCGCTTCACTTATCTTGCAAGTCTCATCAGCCCTTGTGGTCTGGTGTGTGACGAAATCTCACCACGGATACAGAAGGCTCGACTAGCTTTTACCAACTTGCGTCATTTATGGCGTAGGCGAGATATCCGTCTATCAACTAAAGGACGTGTTTACTGCGCAGCAGTTCGTTCCGCCCTACTTTATGGGAGTGAAACATGGCCGGTAAGAGTAGAGGATATCCGTAGGTTACTAGTATTTGATCATAGGTGTCTTCGAAATATTGCTCGTATATCCTGGGACCATCGAGTAAGTAATGCAGTTGTTAGGAAACGGGTACTAGGTAAGGATGGCAAGTCGATTGATGAAGTGGTGAAACTTCATCAGTTAAGATGGCTGGGACACGTGGTATGTATGCCCAACGACCGACTGCCTCGTTGTGCGATGTTCAGTGGTATAGAAGTAGGTTGGAAGAAAGCTAGGGGTGGCCAGACCAAAACATGGCACAAGTTCATGAAGTCACTGACAAGTGGACTAGGTCATATCGGTAGGTGTAAACTACCTGGTTGGGGACCGCGAGATGATAGCAACCGATGGTTAGAGACCCTGAATGACATGGCTCAAAATCGTTTGCAATGGCGCAGGTGCATCCACTCTTTGCGTTCTCCCAAATTCTAATCTTCTGAATTCTTCATATCCCTTTTTTCTCTTTCCAAATCTATTGGACTGTATTATACTCCTTGAAAAACATCTTCAAACCCTATTTTTTCTGATAACAGTTTATACTCTTACCACCTCTACCACTACGGAATTTGAATCGACAACTGGATTTCCATGCTAATGGGGTGTGGCAACTCGAACTGATGTGCGTACGTACGAAGTTCTACGTTGTTACTGACTGACTGTATGACTTCGCTCTTGAATCCTAATTAGCTGCTTTAGCTTTTGTCTAAGACGTTAGGGTCTTGATAAATAACTGCTATAGTCTATAAGGATTGATCTTGGCTGTTACGGTATTGGAAACCAAATACTGCATCGAGGGAGCACTTATAGTTGTCTGGACTTCTCAGTTTACAGTTACAACTTCGAATTGACTTGTGACAAATGGTTAGCTTTGAACTATAATTAGATGTTGCGAAACGATTTAACATTTCAGAGTAGTAGCACAAGGTTCTCGTGTTGTGTTGGAAAACTAATAAATGAAATCTTGGCACTACTGCGATTACATTTTAGACTTACACTCAAAATACTTTTGACTATTTAACTAATTTGTACAGTTAAAGAGCACATGTGTGATGACTAAAGAAACTACTTGACGAAATATGACTAGATTTAGTGATACTGAACATTAGTAACAATCTGCAATCAAATGCAAAGTTTCGCTGAATTACATATCTTAGGCTTAAAATTGTTTTTTGTGACCCGCTAGTTTAAACTGTCAGTTTTAATTACGAGATACCAGGTAAGAATTGAACGTATTAAGGTTCTTGGTTTCTAATACTGTGCAGGACAACCAATTCGGACAGTAAATTGCG